TGATCCGTTTTATCATAAAAAAGAGGCACCTATTGCCAATGGTATTTTGACGGAGACCGGCTCCGTCATCAACAAAACCATCTATATGCTAGATCGCCTTTTATACTGATTTCATCAAAAATTAATGTACAGAGCCGTCCCTAATGTATACATATGTGTACACAAATGATTACTTAGATATGTATATACGAATGTATCCACATATGTACACACCTATAAATGCATTCATGCAACTAAATATTGAGACTTACCCAGATGCAAAGTGGGAACCCCATTCCTCTACAGCAGCTTCGGTGCTTTTGCCTCCTCCTCAAAACGGTGCTCGCATAAAAAGGCGTTGGTTAACGCAAAGTGACCATCGGCAGGGGAGGCTCCAATGTTATCCTTCCACTTCTGGGCCAGATGATGATCCTGGCGGAAGGCGAACATCTTAGTCTGGGCGTTGGTGCTGCTGCAATCGCGAACGCGGCATTTCCGAACCGGCGGCATTTTTAGAAAAACTTTTGCGAAATTAGGACAAGTAAGATTTGACGAATGTTAATATTTGGAGAAATTATTGGCATATATGTACATATGTACATATTTACACACTGTATATTTACTTTTAAATTCTGGAACGGGCTAACCAAATACAGACATGGGAAAAAGAGAAAAATCGCCTTCCCCAATTATTGCCATTTTTGGCGTAATTACATGAAGGCCAATAAAAAATACCTAATTAGAAAACTGATAGAATAGGATGGCTCGGAAATTCCAAGAGGCACCGGCAGAGCATGCCTGCGTGCTGAAACTTTATGAACGCAGGCATTAAAATACTAGTAACTTGTACAGTTTTCGTTTTTCATTCTCAAATTTTTACAGTGTACTCAATAAAGTTTGACAACTATTTAGATTGCAAAAGAAAAAAAATAAAAGTCAAAACGGTGTATAACTAATACAAAAAAAATATTATAATGTTTATAATGTAAATTAAAAAAAGAAATAATAAATATATCACACCAAAAAAAACTGAGGTGTAAACTTTTATGGAATGACCAATATATAGATT